TCAATGCACAGGGAAGGAACATGGGAGAATTGTAATGAGATACAAGAGACGGCCTGGCATTGCACATTGAATGGATATGATGATCTCAGAAGGCTGAAGCTGCCAGAGTGCAGAAAATAAATCTGACTATATAAGGGGACAAAACCTACAGGTGTTCATAGTGCACTATAGCTCAGGATCCCCCAAGCCTGACTATATCTCCTGGGTCCTGCTTCTCAGAGACATTAGAAAAAATGAATACACAGACATTAAAAGTGCACATTTGTTTGTGGAGCTCTGGGTAACAGTGACTGCTTTACAACCTCCATGCAGGGAAACTTACTGACTTCTACAAACCCCTGCACCCCTCTTCTATAAAACTCCTGCACCCCCTTGCCCAAAAAGACTACCTCTCCCTCTAAAGCCCCTGCTCAGCCCCTTACAATAGAATTAGTTTTTTTACACAACAATCTTCAGAGTTCAGTTCCAGGCATATAGTCACTCACACACACAGTTACAGGCAGACAGGCCACAGGCACAGACATACACAGTTACAGGCAGTCACACATACAATTACAGGCAGACAGTCAAGGGCAGATAGTCACATATATAGGCTTAGACTTACAGGCAGCATCCCCCAATCACAGGCACACTGTCACACACACATAATCACAGGCAGACAGTCACAGGAAGACAGTCACACATACACACACCGTTACAGGCAGACAGTCACACACACATACAGATTCACAGGCAGGCAGTCTCACACACACACACAGATACAGGCAGACAGACAGACAGACAGACAGACACACACACACACACACGACTCCATCCTGCTTCCCCTTGATTATGCAACCCCCACTGTTTGGCTCTGCCCCGATATGATTAGCTTCACACCCGCTTTTCTTAGGTGCGGCTGGCTTTAAAATTCTGCGGCCCCTGCGTGGGTGAACTGTGTCGGCTGCACAGCTTACACATCCTAAAGCCGGCCCTGGTCTTGGTACTCCCCTTGTGAGTGGCACCCAGGGCAGACCGCCCCCCGTTCACCCCACCCTTAGTAGCTACTCCCCTGCCTCTATTCACCTCCCAACATCAGATCTCCCGCCTAAAATCACTTTGTTTATTCAGCCCTAGTGACACCTCCCTACATGTGACTTACAAAGCTATCCTAAACACTTCCTGTAAAGAGAGATATCAAATTTTAAACTTCTTTTATTGCACATTCAGTTTAATTTAGAATTTCCAATCTCGTGCTCTGTTAGGCGCTTTCCAGAACCCTTCAGGAGCTTCCAGTGTGTAATTAAAGTTTAATTTACAGAGCCTGTGAGAAAAACTTCTAAAACAAGTTACCATCTGATTGGAAATTAAACCTTTTTTTTTTTTTTTAAATGCAGCAAGTGTCAGTGACAGCCATGGGAGGTGTTGTGGGGCTGCATAAACAAACAAAAGTGATTTAACTCCTAAATAACAGAGAATTGAGACTGCAGAAGTATGATCTGTACACCAAAAATGCTTTGCTAACTATAGTGTCCCTGTAGAGTTAATATATTGTATTTGAAAAGGACACACGAACATTTAACAAGATTTGTGCAAACAAAGACAGCTTTAGACTGAATTCAGTCACTTTCAACTCTACTGCAGCTTCTCTTTCCATACACATCCATTCATTTTCTCAAAAAGAGACCTCATTAAACAAATATCTGCATATTTACAATAGCAATAATGATTTAATTCACTGTAACTGTAAGAACCCATAACTCAATTGAGATGCAAAGCTGTGGAGGCACAAATCATGCAACATGTATTTACCTTTGAATAATCCAAATTATTGAGCCCCCCACAGCAATCCAACTGTGCAGGAGCTTCAGGACCTGCCAGCTTAGGCTAATCACAGTCCAAATATACACTAAAGGGACAGACACACATCTGAGGACATCCCTGAGGTGACAGAGCAAAGGTCCTATGGCAGCCTGGTGATAGCTGTCATAACACACGTGGAACCCAGGGCTCAGTCCCTTCACTTCCGGGTTTGGAAATGTCTCCTTATATCCTATTGGCTAAAGAGGAAGCCATGCCCCGATTGGTTGATTGATTCTGCTTTCTGATTGGTCAGGATACATTGTATCTGCTTTCTGAGTGCTGGACAGTTACATTGTATTTACAGCAGAGCATTGAGGCCAGCTCCCAGTCCAGCAATGTTACTTGCTGAAAGGGTTAACCAATATCCAGACACTATAGTGATATGTAGGCTGGGGGAGCAAAGTACATGTTTTATGGTAATATTTAAAAAGAAATGATCTTTTTATTCATTATATTGTCATTTCAATGCTGACACAGTATATTGTTAGATAATGTAGGGAGTGTTGGCAGAATAAGGGAAAAGGTGGATCCTAAACCAGGTTATGCTTTAATTTCTAATAAAACTTTGCCAACATCAGCTTTGAGGCAACAGAGAGCCATTCAAATGGCAAAACTGGTTTAATGTTACAGGGGGGCTGTAGGGGGCTAGTGTCAGAAATAATGACAGCTTTTACCAAATGTATCAGCAAATAGGAACAACGGAAAGTCACTGACAATGATAGATGGACACAGACTGCGGGCTAGAGTCACTCGCCATCGCCAGACCACCGGGCTTGCAATGCCCCCCCTCCCTGACAAAAAGTTAGGTACATAAAGTTTTGTTTAGAAATAAAAATCTATATTTTTAAATATATACATATGCTTCAGTTTTAGCCTCCCCATGCAATATAAACCCTATGCACCCCTCACACACTGCACACACTACATCCCCTATATACACTATATCCCTTACACTCACACACTACATCCCCTATATACACTATATCCCTTACACTCACACACTACATCCCCTATATACACTATATCCCTTACACTCACACACTACATCCCCTATATACACTATATCCCTTACACTCACACACTACATCCCCTATATACACTATATCCCTTACACTCACACACTACATCCCCTATATACACTATATCCCTTACACTCACACACTACATCCCCTATATACACTATATCCCTTACACTCACACACTCCATCCCCTATATACACTAAATCCCTTACACGCACACACTATATCCCCTATATACACTATATCCCTTACACTCACACACTACATCCCTTACACGCACACACTACATCCCTTATATACACTATATCCCTTACACACACACACTACATCCCCTATATACACTATATCCCTTACACTCACACACTACATCCCCTATATACAATATATCCCTTACACGCACACACTACATCCCCTATATACACTAAATCCCTTACACACACACACTATATCCCCTATATACACTATATCCCTTACACTCACACACTACATCCCTTACACGCACACACTACATCCCTTATATACACTATATCCCTTACACACACACACTACATCCCCTATATACACTATATCCCTTACACTCACACACTACATCCCTTATATACACTATATCCCTTACACTCACACACTTCATCCCCTATATACATTATATCCCTTACATGCACGCACTACATCCCCTATATCCCTTACACTCACACACTACATTCCCTATATACACTATATCCCTTACACTCACACACTACATTCCCTATATACACTATATCCCTTACACTCACACACTACATTCTTTATATATCTTACATTCACACACTTCATCCCCTATACAGACCCTGAATCCCCTACACACACTTGATCACCTTTAAAAACATACTGTGCCACCTACACACACTACATTCCTGACATACACACTATATCCCCATGCACAAACTAGATCTCATGTACAAACACGTACTACATTACTTAAACACACACGCTCTACAGCCCCTACACACACTATGTCACCATTACACATACAGTACAGCGCCTATGCACATACTTACTGCATCCCCAATACACACACTATGCCCCCAATACACACACAATATGCTCCATGTACACACAAACTGTTGAAAGCCTCTAGACACATACATTACTCAACACAACTGAAACTTAAAACACTGCACCACAATCAGCTCACTCTACACACGCAATCCCACAAGCAGGCTCCAAACACATGCACAATGCGCTTTCCTGACCCTTTTGTCTTCTGATATTCAACTCTTGGGGACAGCAGAGACAAGTCACAAGTAAACACAGTGCAATCGTGTTAATACATTTGCTTGTGCTGTGCAGAACAAATACAGGGCCTTTTTCTCATGCTAGAGCTCTTCAGTATGGCTGTGTGCATGGGCTAGCCTGGAAGGGCATTGAACCAACATGCTCACTTTGGGTGGGGGTGGGGGGGGCATGCTTGTCGTGATGACACAACTTCACCCCTTTGGGCCGCCCCCTTGCCACTGGGCCACTGCAATAAACAATACCTGGGTCCATTTTTTTTCCCAGCCCGGCCCTGGAGGCAGGATTCAGATGTGCAGAGTTTGTGCTTGAAATGATGCACATACAGCGATGTTGGCCCTTGTGTGCGGTGTGGTAGTTCAGGGCTGCCTAAAGTCAATTCTGTGCATATATTCTGTCCGTTGTCAGTGCGCACTACATGTTAACAACAGACATATTGAGCTTCTCATGTGAGAAGCGTGAATGTCCCCTCCCTCCGACCCTTTTAGTCTGCGGCCCTCCCCGCCTCTTAACAAGCTCAGTTATTTTTAATTTTCCCACCAACCTCTCTGGCTCCACTGTCCCTCCCCTTGCTGGTTCAGATTGCGTGCATCATGTGCTCTGAGCCATTTCCGTATCAGAAGCCCTTGATTGGACCTCACACGGCTACCGTGATATCAGGAGGGGGTGTGGAAAGCAGCACCTGGAGTTCAGATAAGTACAAACATATTAGTTATTTAAAACTTTTTTTTAGGCGGGGGGACCTAAATAATAATTCCCACATGGGCATATTATATTATTATTATTATAATATTATACTCATAGGCGTGCGCAGCCTATTGCATTAGGGTGTGCACCCTAAAGCACAAACACACGCCGCGTGTATATGTATGTGTGTGTGTGTGTGTGTGTATATATATATATTGCTATATATATACACACACACACACACACACACACATACATACACTGCTGTGTGTGTGTGTGTGTGCTGCATGAGGGTGGTTTGAGGGTGTTGTGTGTGTAAGGGTGCTGTGTGTGTGTGTGAGGGTGCTGTTAGTGTGATGTGTGTGAGAGGGTGCTGTTTGTGTGCTGTGTGTGTGAGGGTGTTTGTGTGTGTGTGTTTGTTAGGGTCCTGTTAGTATGCTGTGTGTGTGAGGGTGCTGTGTGTGTTTGTGAGGGTGCTGTATGTGTGTGGGTGCTGTGTGTGGGTGCTGTGTGTGTGTGAGGGTGCTGTGTGTGTGTGGGGCTCTATGTGTGAAGGTGCTGTGTGTGTGCTGTACGTGCTGTTTGTGTGTGTGTCCTGTATGTGTGTGGGTGATTGTGGGGGTGGAGGTGGGGGTACATTACTTAATAACCCCCTCCCTTCTTACCTTATGTAGGCAGGGGGGATTCTTGTTCCTGCTGCTTTCCCTGGTGGTCCAGCATTGCAACGCTCCGACCTCCGAGAGGAACCCAGCGGAGCTGCTGGTTGAGCTCCCCGGGTCCTCTCCTGCCTCCCTCCATGCTGCAGTGCTCGGATAGCGCCGGCTCTGCATGAGCCGACAGGGGAGATCCTGAGATCTCCCCTGTCGGTCTCACTCCATAGGCGTGCCACGGGGATTAGGGTGTGCCCAGGCACACCCGGCACACCCCGTGCGCACGCCTATGATTATGCTCAAAATTTGTGTAAATATTTGGTGTCAGAATGTGATTCACAGAACTTGTTTGGATTTAGGGTTGGACATAGGGCATGGTATAGGTGCAGGCAGAGGCAACCTTCGGCACTGCAGATGTTTAGGCCTACACCTCCCATGATGCTTTGCTAGCATTATGGGTGTAAGAGCATTATGGGGGATGTAGTCCACAACATCTGGAGTGCCAAAGGTTGCCTATCCCTGGTATAGGGTGAGGTTTTTCGATGGGCTCTAAAATTTACCCTTGAGCCTGAGACCAAACCTGGGTCTGTGTATACACGTAATCGGTAGTGAATTGGTTACCAGCCTTTTCCTTTAAATACCATGGGGTAGCATTAACCATAATCTGCAACATTCGCTATAAACATGCACCAATGGGTAAAATCTGAGTAAATTAAACAAACATGTTGCTGCTTCCGTTTCTTCCTGACCCTCTACTTTAAATGTGTCATTCACCTTGATACATATCCTGATATTCTCCGGCTCTGTGACCTGCAAACATTTAATTACTAACATCCATTAGCTTTGAAAAAAATGCACCAGGAGTCAATTACTTTCCATTACTTTGCTGCCTCGAGGTTCTTAGTACCTTGCAATTTATATATTCTATTTATGAAAATGTGTGAAAATGGAGAAAAGAGTAAAAAAATAGATATTCTGAATTCAAACGCATATTGCAGAAGTGTCTAAAGTATACTTTCAACCACAGTGACTAAATACAATGCAAACTCAAAGTATAAAATAATAGTAATATAATTTGTTATATTTTAATTTTTTTTCTTGTTTGTGCTACTGTGTGTGAGAGAAACCAACAAATATTTACAGAGAGCAGAAGATTTCAAAATAATTGATCATCAATTTCCTGTGGTTATTCATTAATCATCGAGCGGAGGGAAATCGATGGCTAATTTGTATACGTAGGTAGATGCAGAGAGAGATACAAGCCAATACTTTTACCTCTGTAATTACTTGATTTTACTGTGGGGTTTATTTCCTAAGTAGTAAAATATGATGAGTCGTCAATTTGTATAACAAAATAGTTGAATTGGAAAAATATTTTTCCAAGTTGAAATTTTTAATCTACATTTTGCAAATTTGTTGCCTGTCAACTTTTCTGTGAATAAGACCAATAATTGTATTTAAAAAAGAGAAAATTCTCGGTTAATTCACCAGCCCATTGATTTAGGCCTAACATTTCTTTTTTTTATTAATCAGGCATTTTCCACATTTTAGGAAAAGTGAAAAAAGTGGAAAATATCGGTGTAGCGCTCTATAATAGTGGATCTCCCGGAATGAGTAAAAAAGACTTAGCTATACCTTGATGGGTTGTTTGTATTTATAGCTAGTCCCAATATATCCAGGTAAACCTTAAATCAAAAACATAAATGTACAGAACATAGTGTAATCTGTATACCAAATGTAAATAGAAATAAAGTACATAGGTATCTAACTCACACTTTATTGAGCTGATATACTAGCTCAAGTATCTGCGCCTTAGGGTCCGTAAAGGCGACCCTTCCCCTCCTTTTCGTCCAAGATTCTCTCCAGGTACTGTGTCCTAGGTGATAAGTACAGGAGGGAAAAGAGATAGCGTAGTACCGTCTGGTGTATATAAGGTATATAGAATAAATAGGTACCATAAATAGACAGTGGCTCAGTGAATCCAGGACGCGTTTCACCAAGTTTGGCTTCCTCAGCTGGAAAAAAAAGCAGCTGAGGAAGCCAAACTTGGTGAAACGCGTCCTGGATGAACAGTGAGCTGACTTATTGTCTTTTTGGACTATAGCCACAAGTGTTGATCTGATTTATGCATATTTTAATTTATATTTTTTACAATAAATTATACACCTATTTTTATCACACTCACGGCTTTTATTCCTACCTGCTATTTTGAAAGAAGGAATGTGGTCCTTAACCACACACATCTTATGAAGCAAGCCGATATATAGGCTCAGGGTTTGTGAGTATATTGGTACTATTTATTCTATATACCTTATATACACCAGACGGTACTACGCTATCTCTTTTCCCTCCTGTACTTATCACCTAGGACACAGTACCTGGAGAGAATCTTGGACGAAAAGGAGGGGAAGGGTCGCCTTTACGGACCCTAAGGCGCAGATACTTGAGCTAGTATATCAGCTCAATAAAGTGTGAGTTAGATACCTATGTACTTTATTTCTATTTACATTTGGTATACAGATTACACTATGTTCTGTACATTTATGTTTTTGATTTAAGGTTTACCTGGATATATTGGGACTAGCTATAAATACAAACAACCCATCAAGGTATAGCTAAGTCTTTTTTACTCATTCCGGGAGATCCACTATTATAGAGCGCTACACCGATATTTTCCACTTTTTTCACTTTTCCTATGATAAAAAGATAATCACGGTGATATAGCAGCCCAATCATATTTGTCTGGTATAATTCATATTTAATAGCACATACAAAAGCGCTTGTACTACCTATCTACATTTTCCACATTTTAGTTCTCTAAAATTTCATTCTATTGAGTTAATCATGAACAGAATTAATTCGCTAAATTCTGTTTAGTTGTGAATTGATATCTGAATTGTAAAAATAAAGTGACTTTGTCACCCCTCCCCCCCACTCCAAAATGAGTATTTAGCAATGATAAAATCTTCATGAAATACTCAGGGTGACTGATGGAATTTCAATGAAATTCCGACACAGTCAAAAGATATCATAAGTTAAACAAGGGACCATTTTGTTTTAGTATATTATCTACGCTTGACAAAACGTAAGAGGAGGTGGAGCTACAGCTGTCAGGTTTTGTCATCTCTCCCAGCTGTCACTAGTGACGACTGTAGGGAAAATGACATTGTCTCTGGAGGAACCCGCAGTCCTGCCGTCTCCTCGAGAGACCTCAGTGTTGTATCTCGCGCATGTGCTGGAGTTCAACACTTATGTCTGGCTTCTGTCTGATGCAGACCCAGGAGCTGAAGAGGACCATCAGGGATGGATTCAGATAAGTAAAACTCACCTTCCCTGTACCCATCGGCCACTAGACGCCCAACAGAGCAGTCACCAACAGGGAATTTTTAGAAATATGCAAAGACTCCAGACAGTAACAGGGCAACGTTAAAGCTAAAATGGCTGATTTGTGGAAATTTACTGTTAGTAACTACGCCTTGTATAGAGTCAAATCTCTTCCTTTCACCGAGAGCGAAATGACATTTCATCGATTACACAAACACCGTAATCCCACACCCTGCTACTAAGCAGGCCGCTTTCTGTCTGTGGCTGTTTACCCAGCTGCCCCATTCACAGCCCTGCTGGGTCTCTATAATATAACTGCTGACGTGATGTTTTCCTCAGTTTTGCTCCTCAGTGTTTGCACAGGCCTGAATTTTATGCAATTACATGAATGTAAGAAGAGTAGGCCTCTTGTCTCATTTGCAAAAACATTTTTTTTAAAATCCCTTTCAGACTGTTTATGGTCTGTGGAATGGGTTGAAAGAAAAAAAACACATTACTATGTGGATGTTATGATTTGTAATATAAATAAAATAAAAATGAAATATTTGTTCACGCTCGTTGACGCACCTCGGGGCTGTAACGGATTTGGGTGGTGTTTGGCAATAGGTAGAAAGGTCAATGGCAGGGAGTTGTTGTTTTTTCTTTGAATGATGTACTTTTCAATATTTAAAATATTTTCAGAAGTTGGGATTCGACTTCTTCCAAACTCGTTATAAAACTAACAGGCAGACTAAAATAACAAGTTTAGAAATATAGACGTAAAAAGGGGGGCCGTTCTCTGGTGTTTTGCGTGAGCCTTGCTTGCTGCTTACTATTGCTTGTGATTTCATCACCCAGTCACTATGTATGTTTTGGCGTATATGCTCTTTCACAAGTTCAATTTAATATTAAAGGGAAATTATAGTTTTCCTGGCGTTATAGCTCCCTATAGTGCCGCTGCCTAGCATCCCTCCCCGACCCCTATGGTGCAGAAGGGGTTAAAAACCCTTATTTTGCTTACATGATTAAAGCGCTGAGGCCCTTCGGCGCTGGTTCAGGCTCCGCCTTCACTCCTTTACCTACGTCAGCCGGCGTGTAGACAGCCACTATAGGTTGAGTTGACCGTGCAATATAATTATTGCAGTTTAGCAAAAACTGCAGTTATTACCATTGCAAGGATAAGGGGGCTGAAAGACAGCACCTAGACCACTTCAATGAGCTGAAATGATATGGGTGCCTATAGTGTGCCTTTTAAGGGTTACTCCAATCAAAAAACAGTGCTTTAAGAAAACTCTGGTTTTG